GATTGCGTACAATGACGAAAAAGACGATTTCTCCATGGTCATCTGTTTGACGGACGGCGGCAGCAGCTGAGTGCTTTCAAGGGGCATTCTTCCTGCGGACTGCATTGACCTTCTCATTGCCGAGTGGGAGCAGGGACAACTTCTCGTGATTACTCATTGCTATGGGAGCCGGTACTGCAGAGTGCACGAGTCACGTGACAAGGGGACAATGTGGGTGGAGGTACCCGGGGCAATTGCAGGCGTTTGGGCCAATTCACAATCGGGTCGTTGGAAAAAGAGCTTGCGTGTGGGAGCCATTGTCACTGCGACCGTTGGAGGAAAGAGCGTCATGCTGTAGGCTCGGAAAGTGAGCTCCCCGTGGTGGGAGAGTGAGGCCCATGCGCTCTACGTTTGGGTGACTGACAGCAACCGCGTGTTTTGTGTTGGACCGGCTTACATGGACACTGTTCTGAATAAGCCGATTGCCAACGCCATGCTGTGCTCGGATGGTGCGTTGCACCTTGTGGGAGCGAGGCACAATGAAGAGAAAAGCAGCCTGTTTCCTGCCTCCCCTGACGGAGGAACTGCAGATGATCACTTCCATCCTCCGTAATTGGGCGGACGTGGACGCTTCCTTCTCCGCGTCGCCCGTAAGTACGGTGGGTCTGGTTGGATAACTTTCCAACGCAGGCACTGCCAACACGTGGATCGACGAGTGCCGTTGCGTGATTGCAACGGTGACGAATGACAACAATGTCACAAATGGGCCTCAATTCGCAGGGCAATGTTACCCGTGAACCGTTGGGAGGATAATAATCACTGTAGCTTTGTGAATTAAAATTTCGCTCTTGTGGCGACGGTGGCTATTTGCGAGACACACGCAGGCGTCAAGAGTATCCCTTTGATTGGCGCGAAGGAAACAGGCCGCACTGTGCACTTTTGACTGTCGCACAGCCATGAAAGGAGTTGGGGACGTTCAATGCAAACAAACACACCGGCCTTTGGGAGTTGAACAAACAATAACGAGTTATGCTCACGCTGCAGGACCGCCAACAAGGCCTTCGTATAGATCAATGGTGAGTGTGCGTGGGATGCTGAAACGACATCATCATCGGGAAAGAGGCCACGCGCAAATTCACAATTTTACATTGGAGGGGATGAGAGCAGTGCAAGCGACACCGGGAGCCAAAACAATTATTTGACAGTGACGAGTGTCTTTTTGTACAACCGCATATTGACCCGGGAAGAAGCCGCAAAAGTTGGTGCCAACAACCTTCCTCTTCTAGAGTCTCTTTCTGGGAAAATGCTTGAAGGGCCGGATGATCCAGCGGGAACTGGCAGTGGCTCCAAAGATGGAAACGCCTCTCAGCTCACGAACAACACTTTTTTGGAGAAGGGCTTTAGTGGCTACGGCACGGTGCGTGTGTGTGTGTGTGCCTCGGATCTTGTTGCTTCTCCTTCTGGGGCTCTGGGCATTGCAGCTCTCAGCTGTGTGAGAAGGTGGGAGCGGAGCCGCGACTCTCCGTGGAAAAGGGTGTGCAGCTCCTCAGGAAGACTCAATGCATTCCGTTGAGGACTTTTTATTTATCCCTTTTGTTTTCACCTCTGGATATAATGTGCTGCTGGTGCCTTGTTGGAGGGATCAGAACCTCTGTCTTTTTACCATTTTTTAATTTATTTTTTGTTCGCCGCTAGCTGCACACTCTCATGAGTGACGTGCTTCCCCCTGTTTTATTTGCTTTTGTTGCACCGCACGCGGTGCCGGCCTCATTGCTGTGCAGTCCCACGGACTGTACAAAACGAGGGGTGGAGGAAGAGGCCGAGTGCCTCATGAAATGTGAGGGATTTCGTGTGGACACGTGGAACACTGCGATCTTTTTTTTCTCCTCTGTAAGAAACATAAGGAGATGCACAATTCCTGCTGCGCTGAGGGATACATGAAATGAAATTCTACTGAGGTGATTTAATTTTTATCATTATTTATTTATTTATTTCTGCTGAACCTACGCCTTTTTTCTTGTTTTTCTGTATTTGGCAATTCGCTGCGGCTTGTTTTATTGTTTGCTGTGCTGAATGCCACTATGTGTTTTTTTGTCCCATTGGGTGTCCCACTGCTAGCTGTGCAGTTGACACTCCCTCATCACTTTTTCTTTTCTGCTAGAAGCATCGATAGTCCGCGACGTTGATTGTTTGTGTTCCCCCATTGCGATGGTGCGAGGGTGACTGGGCGCCCTGATGAGTGCGTTCTGAGGGGAGTGGATGGTGTGCGCCGTGCCTCACTGTGAGTGTGGGGTGCCACGACCTGCTGTGAGGCGTAACGCTATTCCTTCGGGGCAGAGGTAAGTAAAGGACTGTGGTGGACTTGGATGCGCCTCGTTCCTCTTGTTGCGGCTGTGGGTGTGTGCTGTTCGCATTGCTGTTTTGCGGTACGATGTGGATGGCGGTGCTTCTGCGTGTGTCTTCTTGAATGCACTGTGCGGCGGGCTTCTCTTCTCCTTGTCCTTGCCCTTTTGTGAGTGGGGGGTGAGTGTGGGTGGCTGTCGACCTGCCCCGAGCATTGGGGTCCACACACGTGAGGCTCATCTTGGCAGCCTCTCGCAGCATCCATGCCTCGTGACAGAGCGAGGGAAGAGTGGCGTGTTTCCTACTATAGACCCATCAATTCCGAGCAGTTGGAGTGAAACTAAAGGGAACAAGTGTGTGTGTCTTCACCTTCTTGCGGGAGGACGCGCAGAGGTTGGATTTTTTTTGTTAATTTGTTCGGTTACTGTGCCTGTGTTGACGTTAATGGGGGTTTGTTTTCCAGAGGCATTCATTGTGCGATTTATGAGTGTTTGGTGTCTAACGTTTTCAGCACCGCCAAATATGGTGTTGCGCAGGATCGGAATACACGGATGTGCGAGAGCATTGTGTCGCTCGCCCGTAATAATACACAGGCACACAGTTTCAGTGAGTCTGACACGTCACGTTCTTCGGAACGGTCGAAATCACTTGTGGGACGTCACTTAATTTGCGGCGTCGGGAAAGCGAGGGAAAATGGAGAGATATGCCGAGAACGTGATTCTCCTCCATAATACCGCAGGCTGGCGGCGACAAGGATCAGAGAGCCTCTACCCAACATTGAGAAGAGGGCAGCACTCTGATGATCCGGTTTGCTGTTTAGGAAATTGTAATGTAGTGTGCACCGTGTGGGCCTTTTTGCTGCGGATATGCAGAGGGGCGATGTGGGGTGGAATTATTGTTGAAGGCAGCACGGACTCCGCCTGACCTTTATGGGAGGGATGCGTGCTATTATTCCGTGCTTCCTTGCCTGCGTTGTCGCACTCATGCTGTGAGTGCGGATGGCCACAGTAGTGGAGCTGAATACGGTTCAATGTGTGTTGCTCACGGGGACTGCGCGACACATGTTTTTTGTTGGGCTTCCCAAAAAGGAGGGGCGCATCGCCGTTGCGTGATTCCCGCGGCAGTTCATTACTCTGAGACTGTGCGTGCCGCCGTCCGCTGCGCCACTGCAAGCCTTCGCCTTTGTGAGAAATGGGGAGCGTGACTGCTGTGGCGGTGGTCGAATGTTCCCGAATTGGTGCTTTTGTTGATCCCACTTGGAGCGCCGAGCAGCGAGGGGCCGCACACGCCCAGGAGGTGGGAGTGTGTGTGGCAACCGCACCCGCGATTTGCAGTTGGGATGTGGCATGTTTCCTTGGTATTTTTATTTTTGGTGATATGCGGGGCAGCGGTGTGTTGGCGTGTGCGGGCTGCTCATGGCTGCCGGTGTTTTCTTTCCTGCTGTTCTCCCGCTCCAGTCCTTTGCGTGCGACAGACAAAACGTTTTTACGGGCGTGTGGTGGGGCCGCGTTCTTGATTGGAAAAAAAGCCTTCACAGACATAATGAGACTGCCGCCCGTGCCACACGAGGCGGTGGGGAAGATCCTGGGATTTTTTTTGCGGGGTGGCACCGCACTCTTGCCGTGTGGTTGATTTGTATTCCGCAATGCACGGTGAGGGGGATGTGCGGTGACAACTTCCTCCAGTGGAGCGACACGAGCAGCACGGGGAGCGGAACGGAGGAGTGGTGGCTGCGTGCTTCCAAGTGATACGTGAATGGCGAATGCAATAAGAAAGGCAGCGTGACGGCAATCTTTTGCCATGCACACCGCAGATATTTTCCACAAAGCATGCAAGTTACACTCTTTTCTGTTGTGTGGGGAATTACCGTGATGCATCGCCGTTGCGGCGTGTATGATTTGTCCTCCCTGCATGTGGCCGTTGCTGCACCGAATTCTCCTCCCACTTTTGTGTGTGTGTCAGGGTTAATGTGCACAGGGGTGCGGGACCGTGGCGAGCGGTATGCGTGGGCGAACCCTCCGTGTACACCACGTTGCTGTTATTGTTGGCACCCACCAACACTGTGCTGGGTGGATGACATCCACATATCGTTGTGGTGGTCCTCGTGCATTTGGTGTGCACCGAATACTGTGCCGTCACACTGTGTGGGTGAGTCTCTTGTTGTGGCTGCGAGCCATGACTGTGCCTATTGTATTTTTTTCTCATTTCCCTTTTTTGTTTGGTGACTATTGTTTAGATTTAACTCAAACTAACTGAGAAGGCAAGGAGAAACAATGCCTGGAGAGTCAAGCGCCCACTGTGCCGCAGGGAGATTGTCGGAAGAGAACGAGGCCGGAGTCCTATGCTGACACCGATCAACCCGATGCGACTCGCAGAGGAGTGGGGAAAAGGCAGCAAACGAAGTGGACCCTTGACAGTCGGGTGGAGGATTTACTGCTGGAGGGAAAGGATCGCATCACCAGCATGGGGCTGAATGATTTTATTCGGAGGTACATTAATCCCAGTGAAGCTGTTGTTGGGTGCAATTTGCCGATGAGATGTATTTTTTTTGATCTCGGTGCTCACGTAAAAGATGCTCAGCTTCTCGGCAAAATTTTACTCCTACAGGAATATAAGGTGCTGAAAGATATTTACAGATTGCATATAGTGGAGTATATCAGTTCCAGACTACGCCAAACATGACTACTATTAAGGAGCTTTCCGAGTCTCCTTTTGACAAATCGAAAGTGACATTATCACTTGTGTATGTTTCTGAGCGAAACACATTTGTACAGGTGACTTCAGTTGGAGTAAACTTTGTGAAGGGTGGTAAAGGAGTATATATTATCTGTAAAAATGAATTTGGCATTCAGCATGCAAGTGCGGATGCCAATTTGAGATTACTTGTGTTCTCAAGCTCAAGATTTGTATCCGTTGTGGATCTCAATACCCACCATACAAGGGCGTCACTTGAGCTGGATAACGAAGTTTCATGTTTGGTAATTTCATCTTCGCAGGGTTTTGTAATTGGAGAATGGAACTCCGGTGCCGTTTGTTTGTATGAGGTTCAGGATGGAGAGATTTTATTGAAGGGTCGCATTTTTTGTTCGGCAACCTCGTGTTCCATGTGTATTTTGTCACACCTTCATACACCACGACTTGTTGTTGGATTACTGAATGGGTATATTGCGGATATTTCTTTGGAATCAATGTTAATGGGAAGTGCTGCTCGGGAAACATTTATTAGGATGCAGCCTGTGCAATTATTTAATTTGGAAAGCCATAATGCAGTTCTTTGCCTTGGAGAAGTACCTCTCATCATCATTCTTTGCGATACGGGCTTTCAACTTACTGGAATTGATTTCAATGATGTTGCGGCGTGCGCTATAATTGAAGGTTCCCACATTTCATCTAAATACATATTTCTTTCTCAGAGTGAAAATTCTCTTGCGTTTGGAAATATTGTGGATCTTAAGAAGTTAAACTCATGTTTTCTGGGCCTGAAAGCCACTGTGACTCGAGTGAAATACATCGCGTGGTGGAACGTCTTTGTGATGTCTGTTCGCCGAAATGAAAAGGATCAGATCCTTTTATTGATGGGGCATGAGTTGGCGAATTCATGGGTTCCACAAAATGAACTCTTAATTGAACTCTTCTCAATTGAACTCTTGGGAAACGAACGATGTGTTTTTTTTGAGACTGTTGTTCTTGGAGGGTCTAACGAATCCCCCAACGGTAATGAGGCGGATAAAGACAAGGCGATACTTTTGGGTACCACCTTTGCGTTTCCGGATGAACAGTTGCCACGGTCAAGTCGATTCATATGGTATTCTGTCGAACAAGGAAAATTAATATCAGAACGACCACAACTACGCCAAATTGGTAGCAAAGATGTTGAAGGGGCGCTTCAATGTTGTTGTATTGTTCCAAACTATGTTGGTCGAATAGCCCTTGGAATAAATGGTTGTATAGCGTTGTATAGTTGGAATGCTGCGGACTCTGTTTTTGTGGCCGAGGAAACGATTTGTATCGGTACCATTGTAACACGTGTGTTGCCTATATTTCAAGGGGACGCATCTTACATGGTGGCCTTTGACGCCCGCCATAGTTGCTTTTTTATTCAGGTGGATACTTTTCAGGGCAGTCTCGAGATAGTTGCCCGTGACTCCGAGCCGCGGGGAGTTATGGATGGTACTGTGTTTCAATTGGGCAACATCTACAATATTTGTTTTGGGGATGATTACTACAATTTTTTTTGTCTCTCTCGTGGTGCATCGACTTTGCCGAGTGCCTCAAACGCAACATCGGCTACGGTGTCAAGCGGTAAACTCGAAACAAGCGCACAGTATCATTTGGGAGACATGGTGACAGCAATGCAACTAGGCAGTTTTGCCCCGTGTTCTGTTACAAATATTGCTGTTCCTATTCCAACTACACTTATTCCTGGGATTTGCGGCCCCCAAGTCGTTTTTGGAACCTCCCATGGTGCTTTTGGTACGATAACCCCTGTGTCCAACGAAACATATCTTCTCTTAAAGGCTCTGGAGGTTGCTGTCTCATCAGTAGTTCCAGCTTTGGGAGGGTTCGAGCATGTCACGTATCGAGAGGTTCTTCGTGCAGGGCAGGAACGAGGCTATAGTCGCAATGCCTCGTTTGAGAATGCGAACGTCGTGTCATCAGGGGTTTTTGACAAGCGTCGAAAACGCTATCTGTCCAGGTGTGTTTGTAGTGGAGATTTGATTGAGTCCTTTTTAACTTTTTCACAAACTATTCAACAGCGAATACTACGCGAGGCCGAAAGTCGCATTAAAAGCTGCTATTTTTCAATGAATTCCACTCTAGGAGAATTTTTTGAGCACAACGATTTAGACAATAGTTTTGCTGAAAGGAGTGATGCTTGCTTGGATGAGTGCAAGACCATAGGTGACGTAAATGCCCTATTCTCTGAAAGCGGATTGCCTACCTTGCCCCTAACACGAGAGGCGGTTAACGAGTTTCTTCAAAATATGCAGCGGATTCACTAAGAAACATTTTCACGCACGAAAGCGAAATTATTATGATTGTTATTATAATACTTTCTCTTTGTTGTTTTATTCACTTATTATTGTTGTATGAAATTGTTTTTACCTTTTTTCTTTTCCAACTTCTTTTATGATGTCTTTTCTTTTTTTTTTTTGCTTTATAAGTTGTCTTGTCAGATGAAGTACCTTGCCGCTTACGCTCTTGTTGGCCTCTCAGGAGGGACCCCCTCAAAGTCTGCAGTTGAGGCCGTATTGAAGGCTGCCGGCGTCCCTGTCGATCCTTCTCGCGTGGATGCACTTTTTGCCGAGTTTGCAGGCAAGGACTTTGATACGGTATGCACTGAAGGCAAATCGAAGCTTGTAGGAGGGGTTACACGTCCCAATGCTGCCACCGCTTCTGCACCCACTGCCGCTGCCGCCGCCTCTAGTGGTGCCGCCGCGCCTGCTGCAGCTGCGGAAGAGGAGGAGGACGATGACATGGGATTTGGTCTTTTTGACTAAAGACAAATGCTTATTTTATTTTATTTTTGATTTTGTTTCTCTGTTGTCCATGAAGAGGCGCTGGAGTCCTGTGAATAAAATGCGAGAGAGTAAATAAAAGTAGGAACAGTAACTGCTGCACTCAAACGCATGGCAAAAAAGGGTACGCCATTGGGTTGGCCTTTTTTTTTCTTTTTTTTCCCTTTTAATTTTTGCTCTTATGACCCTTCAGACACGTAGAGACAAGTACGATACAAGCCAGCTGACGCTCTCGTCGTTAGTTGCACTGTGCGCGGATTGTTCGAGCTTTTGTTTGGAAAGGACCGCGAGAGTTCTGGACAATCAAAGCCGCGCACCAAAAGGATGGGAAAATCAGTTTGCGGCGGTTGCCAAACAACGTCGACAAGAGGACTGCGAACTTTGCGAACGTTACTGCCATCGAGTTTCATCTGTTTGCCCTGACTCGAAGGATATCGAACATTTTGAGGCTTTGGGATATAAGGAGGTAGCAAGAAGGACTTCCTTAGATGGATTACCCACGGTTCAGTAGATGTCTAGGTGCGAGAACGCTGTTTCGGAGTTCTCAAGAGTTCTTTTTTCACTCGCGCACAAGCCTAGTAAGGTGGCATTTGAGGATGTTGACCCGAAAAGTGGCTTGAAAAAAAGTGAGGAAGGTGGTGATGGTGAGCCAACCGAGCTTCATAAAAAGGTACTTAGTGGTGGATCAATAGATGATGCCATCCTGCAGCGTTGGAGCACTGCTAGGAAGGGACGAGCCGAAATGGAGGAGATGGGAGTGATTCGAAGTGCGGAAGAGACCGCATCGCTCAGGCAGGAACTTGGACGTCAGAGGTCCGAAGAGTACATTAAGACAAGGGGGACGACTCCGAAGTGGTGAGCAAGCACGAAGAAGCACAAACAAGCAAAACACAACAAGAACAACAAGTTTTATTTTTATTTTTCTCTCTCTCTTTTTTTTGGTCTTCTCTTCTATATCTTGGTAGCAACTCTTTTTTCCCCCCTCTCTTTCTATATATAATTTTTCATTTGTTAGTTTTTCTTTACCATGCAGAGTAAGTTTACGCGAGATGTGCGCATAGTTTTTTTTTTATCGATCGATATGGTAGCCGGATGTGTGGCGGGAAAGACTTATTTACTTCACGTTAAACGGGGAGACAAGATTCACGCGTCGTCGCCTCCGCTCATTGCAGACGATGGAGGAAAGCCTCACGTGAACTTGTCTCGCATCTTTACGTCAACGCTGCAACGACAGAACGATTGGAAGTACAAGAAGAAGCCACTCAAGGTTCGCATTGAAGAGTTGCGCTCCCATTTTGTGACAAGTTTGTCCTACGACTTGAGCAAGAACATTGTTGAAGAAGCTTTTCCGGAGAGAAGGGTGATTATCCGTGAACGGGACGGGTTAACAGAGGTTCATTTAAGACTGAGGGGTGTAAAAGAAAGTCTTTATATCCGGCAACAAGATGTTCAAACTGCTTCCAATGCATCCTCTAGCTCCTACATGCGCGAGCCGAGCACCGCGTCCTTGTTTGGACCCCACGATCCCTCTGAGGAACATATTAATCATTCAACCACTTCATTTGTGGTTGACGATTACTTAAGTGTCATTGATAGTTTGACAGGGACTGCAAGCGAGCAAAGGAGCGAGGATATCCATTCTGAGACGAAAGAAACTCAGGTGGACAAAGAACTCAATAAAATAAATTTTGACAAGTGTGCTTCAGCCCCGGATACATCTTTACACACGTTAGTTGCACCCATGCATCGAAGGACGGGGGGCGTGTCAAATACAATCAGCAAGGAAAACTTTAAGAATCTTGCTTTTACACGGGGCTCAGATGCGGCTATTTTGAAGGGTAAGGATTTATCCACTCTTAAGCCGTCTTGGAAGAGAAATATTGCTTTTGAAGACCCCGTTCATGGGGTCATTAGGCAGATTTGTGATGCTGTAAGGTGGTGTGGAGACATTGGTAGGGAGTCTCAAACAGCGAGAGATGCTTCGAATGGAGCTCATTTAGCTCTTGATTTTTATTTAAATCAGGATGGAGAAACCCTGGGTCGCTTTGTTGTTAGTTTTCTGGCTCATGTTGTTGTTGAAGTGTGTCGAGAGACGCGACACATTGGCAACTGGCTTAGCCTTTTAACACACGTTATTTACGGATCCATCCTGTACACAAGACATCAATTTAATCCGTGTGATGTTAAAGGGATGTCTATAAGAATTGCAGATCTCAGGGATTTGGATGTCGATACGTTTACAACACGAGGAGAAGCCATCATACAGGATCTTGCGAGAGATTTGAGTGTTCCTGTTGCAACAGACATGTTTTGGTTTGCTGGTTTGGATTACTGTGCCAGCACACTCGCTTTGCTTTGTATTCACCAAATTCAAGGTTTGTGTGACAATTTTGTGACTCTTTTTCCATTTTCAGGAAGAGGTTGCATTTCAATGGAAGAGGGATTGGTTGCAGCAACGGCCATACTTTGCTCACATCTCCATTCACTCTTGACAACCTTACTTTCTCAGACGGAACAGAAGGAATTAGCTGATATTCGTAACGCTCCTCCACTCTACAGAATAATTCTTGGGGAAATTATCACGATGGTTTTTGATCGTGTGGTAACAGTTATTATTGAGTACATGCACAAAATAGATTGTCTTCCTGATGGCAGTGCGTTTCATATTGCTTTTAAGGCCTTGAAACTCCTCATTTCTTGGGCAAAGGGACATTTTTTGCTTTCCGTGGTCTCTCCAATTCTAATGTCGCTGGTCGTGTATTGTGACTTTGTTCTATTGCCCCAGGGTTTGCTTAAAAATCATGAATATCGCTTGTATCTGGAGAGGTTTCTTCCTTCGTTTGTTGAAGCCAACAATTCGAATGGTAAAAAGTCCCGAACGATGATTTCACCATGTTTATCTAGCAATACAAGCGACACTGTTGCGTTTTCTTTTTATTCTATTCTGGTGGAGTTTACAGAAAGGGGATGTAGAGGGACATCTAAAGCTGAGAGGGGCTCTTCTTGGACTCTGGTTGAGGTTTTGAACGGCGACAAGGATGATGCTGCACGGGTTCTCTCAGCTGAGGAGGTGTTTCCCGCAACTGGGTTTAATGGAACGAGGCATAGCCTTTCTGACCCCAGTCTTGTTCTGCCGCTGTTGGCTCAAGAGATAAAGTCCTCTTTCAAATAAGGGCCATGCATGGCGTAAAATGACAAAAATACCGCATTTTCATTTGAAGCAAAGAAACGATTAAATAAATAACTAAAAAGAAGAGGGGTTAGGCGCTGGGCGGGGAGGTTTTGTTTTGTTGAAAGGTGATGTCATTTTGGACTATACAGTGTTTCATGAGGTGGGTAAATGACGCAGCTTTTGAATCCTGCGCCTGTACGCACTCACAAAATAAAATATTCTTGACAACGTTCTTGTGGTTCTCATGGGCTGTATTTACTTTGGAGGAATAGGTGGAACATCTTGAGAAAATGAATTTCTCCGTTCGCAAATTAGGGAAACAAACGAGGAAAAGCATTTTAAAGAAGAAATAATTATTGCGAAGACTAGGGAAGGTTAACCATAAGAACTCCAGCAGCTTGTGTGTACATGTTTATATACTTTTTATTAGCCTTTTTCATAAGGGGTTTTTGAAGGATGCTGTTTTTATTTGTTTTTAACACTTGAGGCTTTGCTTCTTCTCATTGTCTTTTGATTGCCGGATAAATGATGTTTTTTTTTTTTTTTGGTGGGAAAAAGTCTTTCGCCATGTGTGTACATCATTATACTTGTTCCTGTATCTGCAGACACGCTACATTTGGGTGATGGTGAATGACTGGAATAACTGCTGCAGTGGCAACGATGATTGTATGGCTCAGTGTAGAATGTTACGCTGCTTATTGTTTTGCAATGCCCTGCTTTATTTAGTTTCACTTCATTCCTCGACATATTTCCTTTTCTCTCCACTTCTTGAACACACACACGAGGAAAGAAGGAAGACAAGCACAAAACGCTACTGTGAAGTTGGAAGGCACTGAAAGGACCAACAACAGCACACAGACCGCCCACACACACATATTCATATGCTCTCACGTGTTGCTGCAGTGAAGGCACCCCGCACACACAAACAGTTGTCGCCGCGTGACCGGATTTGGCGGAAGGAGGAGGGAAGGAAGAGAGAGTGAGCCGCAGAGGCCCCACATGTCCCGGCATGTGTTTACTTCCGTGATGATGCTGCTCCTCCTCCTTTCGTGATGACGTGCCGTGGATTTGGATCTGCTAACGCGGAAGGGCAGCAGTCAGGGGACGTGCGAATGCCACAACCGGTTGACATCTATGTGCGGATGAAGACGCAGGTGGTACCAAAAAAGTGGTTCTGGCAAAAGTGGAATGAGGGATTCATTCGCTGCACCTTCTCTTGTCCGTGCTGGTGGAGTGACGATTGCATTTGCTGAAGGTCACACCGAGTATAAAGGTTCCCACTATAGATTGAATGTGCGTCCCTCTGATATTGTGGCGGGGTAAATCAACGCCGCGGAGACGTGGCCGTTAATTGCCGCCGAGAACAATAGGGGTAAATGGGGGGTACGCACACTGTTTAGTACAGTGAATGAAGAGGATCTTTTTGTTGTTGCGTGCAACCCCACAGCGATTGCAAAGGACAATAAAGTGCTTCTACTTGTGGGAAGCTACAATATGTGAAAAAAATGATGGTCGCTAGAATAAGGTTGGCTGGGATATTCAACTGGTTGAGGGTGATGCCACGCACTCCAATGACGGCGTGCAAAGTACATTGATCGACTGGGTCGAACCCAAGTCACCTTCACGGCAGATCCCCCAAAGGATTAAAAGCAAACTGTCGGATTTTGGGGTGGTATTAGTTCAGGCATTGTGATGGAGGGTGGCACACTTGTGTTTACCCTGAGGACGAGGAATGGGGAAAATCGATCCTTTCTCCAGAATCACTTATTCAACGGCAATACCTGTGTGTTCCCAGAGGGCTTTTCTCCTGCGGCATGCTTTAACCCCCGCATTACCGAATGAAATAGGAAACAAATTTTTATGATCGTTCAGTGCAAAGATGGCCAGAGTTTGTTCGATTCGCATGACATGGGGGCAACGCTGACAAAGGCTATTGGGACACTCTCAGGCGTGTGGGCCAATTCAAAATTGGGAGTCTTTCGGGAAGACAATTTGCCTGTGGAAGCCCCTATCACCGCGACCATTGAGGGAGTGAAGGTGATGCTGTACACTTGGAAAAGGTACTTCTCGGGGGAGAAAAGGGAAAATGTGTTCCATCTTTGGGTCACGGACAATAACCGCACGTTTTCTGTTGGACCCGTTGCCATGGATAATAACTTGGAACGTTTTCACGCCCTGCTGCACTCGGATGGTGCGTTGCACATTTTACAGGATGGTATTATTAAAGCAAGCAACACCATTTCACTTGTCCCACTAACGGAGGGGCTACAGATGATCAATTACGTCTTGAAGAGTTGGGCACAGCTGGATTCCTCGTTCTCTGAGTTGTTCACACCCACGGCGGGTCTGGTTGTTTTCCTGTCCAAAGCATCGTCCGGTGGTGACACGTGGAGCGACGATTACCTTTGCGTGAGTGCAATTATGACGAAGAATGCAATGAAGGCCAAAGATGGGCTCAAATTCACGGGGGCTTGGGTCCGGGGCAGTATGGCTCGTGAGCAGCCGGGAGCATAATGGGCCGCATACCTTTGTAAGCTGTGATTTCACTATTGTGGCGAGGGTGATGATTCAAAATTTTCCGAAGTTGGGCACTCCTCTACCGGGCGCGGGTCTGGACGCACTCGTCAGCACGAACTTCATTTGGCTGTCACACGACGCGGACAGTAGGTGGGAGACGGTGTTTTACAGAATAAAAACAGCATCGGGCAGCACTTGGGAGCCGGGGAAAGAATACCAGATGGCGCTCATGCTGCAGGACGGCCACAGGGGATGTGTGTACGTGAATGGCGTGCTTGTGGGGAGCCCAGAGACGCTACGAACACCTGAGACGCGGGGACTGAAGTCTCATGCTTCTACATTGGTGGCGACGAGGGAGGCAGCGGCAGCAATGCGACGGTGACAAACTTCTTTCTGTACAACCGCCCACTGAGTGACGATGAACTAAAACTCTTCAGGAAAAGCGGTGACGGATCCATGCTTGGGGGCGTGTTGCGGGTGCTGCTGCTGCTGCTGGGCTGTGCAGCTTTGCGGCCCTCTACGGGGCGTAACGCCGCGGGACCCCTGCCTCTAGTGGGTGCAATATGTACCTCTCCACGCAACCTCCTAAATAATTGACGTTTTGCTTGGATATACCTTTTATTTTATATATTTTATTTTTGGTTTGAATATCCCTTTTCCGCCTGTGCAATTCTTTATTTAAAAGCATGCTCTCCCTCCCGGGACTGCACCGCGAGGTATTTGTTTTTGCTTTATTCTATGTGATTGTTTTTGTATAGTGGAGTATTTTGAGATTGGCGGGATGTCTTTAATTTTTCCGTCGGCCGATTACACGTGCAGTCGGCATTGAGCTCCATGACGATGGTGCGGTGAAAAAGGGATTTAAGATGTGCAGCAACGCACTGAACGTCCCAATGAAATGTGGGTGTTGTGTGGACACCAGGAGGTTGAACGGCTGACGCAAATATATTTTTACTTCTGCAGGAAGAATATACACGTGTTTCTTTTTGTTTTTCCGCGTCACCGTGTTATTGTTAGTATTTTTGTGAGCGTGAAAAACTTCTTCAAGGGAACTGTTTTTGCGTTTTTTTTTGTTTTTTTGTCTTAAGTTTTTATTTTTTGTTTCTGCAAGCGTATTGTGAGTTGCCACATGTTGGGCTGCCGTGCCTTCTTGAGCTTTGGCTGCCCTCTTTCTTTTCTCTTTGTCTGTCCTGTAACTCCACTGCGTGTTTTTTTTTGTTTCTTCACGTGCGTGGCTCTTTTTTTTCTTTGCGTGTCTGCAGACACACAACCGCACGGCGTACATGTTGCAGTGCAGCTTGATGCTTCTCGTGCACTCGGTGCTGGCAACTGCTGCATTCCGCGGAAATGAAAAAGAAAGATGCACCGAGAGTGCGCCGTGGCTCTCATCCCCTGTGGAAATGCTGCACGACGTGTGGCGGTATTGCCCTGAAATGCCGAACCATCACGCACGAGGACGTGGCACGGAGTGTCAGATATCTTTTTTTGTGTCTGCTGCTGTGGGTGCGGCCGCGTCGGACTTGTCGGCACGATGGCCGCAGCGTGTGATCGTCGCTCTGTTCTCTCGGGAAATATGCTACGACGCTTTTACGTGTGTGTTGTTTCGGGGACAATGTGCTGGCGGCTGTGCGATTGCCGGATGAAGGGAGAGGAGTGGAGGGAAGTGCGTGAGCGCCGCGGTCAGGAGTCGCGCTGGGTGTCTCGCCGCGGAGGGTATTGCCCACCCTGCCCAGCACCGCTCCTGCCGGGCACCCTCTATCACACCGCAGCATCGTAACCGACGCCAGCAGCACGCAGCGAGGCAGTGGATGCCACCACCGCCACGAGTGCGACCGGAAGAGAACACGCCTGATGTTGCGTTCCGAGGGGTCACACCGTGTGGCACAGTGGCGTGCCCAAAACCTTTTCGCGGTGTCCGCGCACGACACCGGGCAGTGGACGCGGAGTGTTTGTGTCATGGAGGACACCGCGGTGGAATCCCTCCTCGTTCCATGTGGAAGGACACCTGATTTTCCTTCCTTTTCCCACCCAGGCGGATGGCTGCGCGATGACACCACAACGAGGCAGTTGCTTTCACCATGGAGGGGCAACATCTGCAGGGTTACGCATTGGGAATATGAACGGCGAATGCAGTAAGAAAGGGAGTGTCATGGTTCTTTTGTGCTGTGCGAATTGCGTGAATTTTTCATAAAGCATGTAATTTGCTTTTTTGTTTTTCTGTTGTGTGGGGGATTACCATGATGCATCGCTGTTGTGGCGTGTATGATTTGGGGTGTCCGCGTGTGGCCGCTTCTGCACCGAATTTTTTTTTCCACTGTTGTTTGTTTCTGTCAGTGACGATATGTCCACGTCCTCTCGCAGAGTGTGTGCGGTGACGGCGGTGCCACAGGGGTGCGGGACCGTGGCGAGCGGTATGCGTGGGCGAACCCTCCGTGCGTACCACATTGTTGTTGTTGGCTCTCACCAACACTGTGCTGGGTGGATGGCACCCGCGTGCCGTCGTTGCGGTGGTACCAGTGCATCGAGTACAGTGCGTCGCACACCGCGCGTATGGCACTCTTGTTTTGGCTGCGAGTCATTTCTGTGATTATTTTCTTTTGTTATTCTTCTCTCGTTTGTTGGTTAGTATTCAGCTTTAACTCAATCCAACCAAGAAAACAAGGAGAAACAATGTCCGGAAATCAAGCGTCTGCCGTGCCGCAGGGAGATGATCAGAGGAGAGCGAGGCCGGAGTCTGAGAATGTTACAGATCAACCCGCCGCGACACACATAAGAGTGGAGGAGGCGCGGCGAACACAGTGGACCATGAGCAGCACCGTAAGGGACATTCTGATGGAGGGAAGCACTAGCAGAACCAACATGAAGCTGAACGATTTCCTTCGGAGCAACTTGGGCGGCACGGCGGCCGTTGGTGAAGACCACAATGTGACGATGCAGGCGTTTGTTCAGGAGCCGGATGCTTACATACAAGACCAGCAGCTTCTTGGAAGAATTTTTAATTTACCAGAGTACCAAGAGCTGGAAAGAGAGCTGGAGGAAAAGAAAATACTATTGGAGGCTAGTTATAAGCTTCACCACGGGGGTGTGCACTTTCTCGAGCAATGGAGGGGCTATCAAGGAAAGGCTACGCTCACTCCACTTGTATGTGAAAAACTAAACGGGGTTTTTGCTCAGGTACAGAGAAAAGAAAAACGTGAGGCAAATGAAAGAGCGATGCTTGAGGCAGCGAAGGTTCCTGAAGCTGTGATGCTGGAGGGATGCTACGAGTCTGTGTACAATGCGAGTTGGCACCATGTGGTGGAAGTTCCTGGTGGCGAGGGGACGGCAATGGAGGTGAAGGAGGGGAAACCGGAACAGTCATGGACGTACAACGAAGTTGGCGACACTCCCGAAAAGGATGACGGTGTGGAACAATCCGATGAAGCACCTCACGTGCTGATGGTGCTCACCTCGGAAAAGGGATGGCCGTACTCGTGGGAACGGGGGGTGAGTGAAATTATTCCTGACTGCTATGTGAACTGTGAGGTGGAGCGAGTGTGGCAGATTGTCATTGGCGATCTAACCGAGTGGTTCAGCATTCACGGTGGGAACAATCCTTCGCCCAAGCGGCGTGTGCTGATGGGGACGCCCGGGATTGGGAAGTCGATGGCTGCCGGCTCGTACCTCCTCTACCAGCTGCTGCACTACGATGCGGAGAAACTCCCAATGGTTGCGTACGTTATTACGGATCGAAAATTCCTATTTGACAAGATCACAAGAACGGTGAAAAAATACAGTGCGGCGTCTAGTATCGTGGATATTTTGGACGGGTTGTCTGACCGTGGGGTGAAAGGGTATATTATCTACGACGTGTCAATGAAGAGTGATAAACCGTCTACTGGTTTGCCTTGCAAGGGATGGGGCATGATTGTTGTGACATCACCGAACACAAAGAATTACTATCATTGGACGAAGATAGCGGAACCGGAAAAAATCATAATTAATTGTCCTGAAGAAAACGATGTGAAGGCAATGTGCATTTGGATGAAGCACAATCGGCGGCTTCCGGAGGAAGAAACGGAGGAAGAAGCGGACTACTGGAAAAAGGTGAAGGAACGCATGGATGAAGTGGGGCCGATTCTCCGCTTCATCTTTAATGAAAAAAAGTGTAAGGATCGCTTTAACGAGTGTGAAGGCGCTGTGAATAGTATCACCGGTTCGATGCTACAGTATTACACTGGTATTGGAACTGGCAAGTCGTGCGAAAGCAATCATGTGTCTCACAAGCTTGTGAAGGTTGTCAGAGTACGAAAAGACAACATTGAATCGCATTTGAATATACTGATATCTCCCCATTTTGAACGTGAAACATTGGCCAAGATGAAAAAAGAAATGAGGCGGATGGACTTTACTTATCTTGTGTTGAGTATTTGGGATTATGTCATTCCACAAATTCTTGAAGATGAAGCCCTAGACGCATTTTTGAATGAGGATTTCCTGCGTGCGATAAGAACTAAAATTGAGGAACTGAAGCTAACAGGACGACCTGGGTCACACACCTGTGCGCTGAAAGTGCATTCGAACAAAAGCTTCACCAGGAAAGAGGTTCTACCAGAGAACCCTTCTAAACGGATTGCCATAGAGTACTGGGTGCTGTATCGACCGGCGGCCAAAAACTTTCCGCTGGTGGACGGCTTTTTCTTTGTGGACTCAAAACCGAAGATAATGGTTGGGCTGCAGATCACTACGGCGCGTGAGCATCACACCATACCCAGCACTGTGGAGCTGTTCACTGAACGTATGGCGGCATATTTTAAGGGCTGGAAGACATTATCTCGAAACTTGTTGTGGGAGATTGCTTATGTGCAGCACAAAGACAACAAGCCGCTGGATGACTGGCAGAGATGTGGTCCCGCCGATCCCACTAATTTGAACGACGCTGAAAAAATAATTGCGGAGTTTTGGAAGAAAAAGGTGTATCAGTACCGAGTAGGTGTATCAGCCGATGACATCAAACCAACAGCTTCCAGCGTGGAAAACGACCAACAAGATACAAGCACAAATTAGGGAATTAAAGCGTCATTTTATTTTTTGGTAAAATTTCTTTGGATCCTATATAGTTGGATACTTTCGTGTGCATACAGTGCAGGTGCGCCAGCGCCAGGCGACAGTACTGCACAAAAATCTCAGGTGTCCAAAGCTATCGACAGTAGCATAAGAAAAAAATATGGGGAATGATGAGGGAAGCTTGTTTTCCGCAAAAAAAAGGAAAAAATTAAGGGAGTTTTATAGGCTTTTATAATTGCGTTTTTATAAAAGATTTAAACGGAGAATTGCTCTATTGTGGGAGAATTATTGTGACCGTTGCTTTCGCAGTTTTACTACATTTTCCATTTTTCATTTTCATTTTTAATTTTATAGGGCCGATCACTAACAGTAGCATTTTTAAGGGATGAAAAACGGACAAATTCTATTGTGGAAACAGCGCGCTCCGTGTGACCGCATGGAGTGAGGCGCCGCGTCATAGCTGGATGAGGAATCGCTTCCGCGTGTGGCTCTTTGGGTGATTGCTTGCTCCGCGTGCGTTGTGTTTGTTGGCGTTGGGGCTGTGGCCGTATGCCGTTGTCCGTGGGACTCAACTGGAGGCGGTGGCGGTGTGTTTCTTCTCGCCCACTGGTGGATCACTGCTGGCGGTGTGTGCGTTTGTTGTGTGTACGCCGTCTCGCAGTTTACGCACACACTGAGCCACAACTGCTGTGAAAGGCCGCGTCTTTTCTGTAAGGACTTTTTGCTCTTGTGCGGTGTGTTTGAGCATGCTTTTCATTATGCGCATGAGTGCCTTGCGTGTTTTACCGGAGCGTCGGGCGTGACC